TCAGGTGGCCAGTGGGCGTCCTCTAACTTTCTTATTATTTGGCAGTGATAAGGCATTTTATGAAGTTTGTGTTCCTAAATAATGAGCCTACAAAAAGATAGCGTACTTACCTATGGTATATGTACTCGCAGCCTTACATTAAATAGTTCAACTAATAGTAGTCGCATAAAGAAGGACTGTCAGTCACTGTTGACCTACCGATAAGTGACAATGTGATTATGCATTGAAGTAATATTACTACGTATAGAACAGACATCGCGAACAAAATATGTACAGTGCGGGGTGCGGGGCGGGAATTTGACGGACAGCTGTCAGTCAAATCCATGACTATCAAGTTTCATAATTTATGGCGATAAAATCTGCACCAGAAAATGTCGTACTTCATTGGTAGGATTGCACGAATAGTGACGTTCCTGCGGTCGCCTCATCATAGACATTGTGAAACGATTGTGAAAATAAACAAATCGGCTAAATTGTGTTAAATTTTCATGGTGCTCAATAGCAAAAAGATTCAGCTACTTACATTATTTTCTTTTATTATATTGTGCGTTTCCTGTAATGTAATCTAAGCTCCCCTCCCGTAGACTAAAATTAGCCCTCCTAGACAAGTGACAAAACGTAGCAGTTGAAACATTCGAAATCACTTCGCTCTGCCGTTTTTTGGTGTTAGTTACTTCACTCTGTGATGCGATTTTAAAATTACAACTGGCGATTCCGAATTCACAACTGAGGGGACTGAGGCTAATTGTGTTACTTGTGCTACAAGTGCGTATGGGCTTCATACTGATGCTTAAGCCATGAATTATTTTTTTTCCCGATTAAAATCTAATGTAATCGATAATCGCCTTGAGAATCGTTAACTGGTATTTTCTGATTCGATAAAAAAAATGCCCATCTCTAGTTGAAAACTGTCATCCAACAGCGCACGAAATATTATGAGTTATAGATAATGATACCATTACAGAGGCGACACTTCGTTTACGTTTAGTTTCTGCCTATTGAATTGGATACTGTAAGGAAACATCGTCATCATCATTTTAGCTACTGGACGTCCACTGCTGAACAAAGGCCTCCTCTAATGATTTCCACATCGCCCAGTTGATAGTGGCCTGCACCCAGCGTCTTCCTGCTATCTTCAGTCAGTCCATCTTGAGATTTTAGAAAAATTCCCACTCGTCACGGTAGGAACAAAGCTAGGGATGACCCACGCCTTCACTCCAGAACCAATAAAATAACTGAAAGTCAGAAACTTTCAGTTATTTTATTGTCTCTATTGTTAACTATCTCAGTGGTTGAGTACACGTATAATAGCTGTGAGGTAGAAGTTACGGGACTATTCCCACCTCTCCTTTTCACCGCTGCATCTCCTGTGTAGCTAGCACCTAGACTAGTTGATTTAAAGCCAAGGTATATCAGTTTTTAGGTAATGACTTAGTGCATCTAAAAATGTAAAACTTTCTAGTTTTTTGTAACATTGAAAAATCTAAAAAGAAGCATCATTTTTTTTACCAAGTGTTTCTAAGAAATTTAAATGGAAGCTTTTGATGACAACGTATTGCTTACTTTTTCAGCTGTCGAACGAATCACTTTTATACTCATAGGTCCTGTACATCGGTAGATTTGGTAAATAAATGAATCCATCCGGACTCAGAAACTAAAAAAATTAAAATAGCTGTAATTTTTTAATACTGGATTTGTCGATTAAATTGATCATATTACTGCGCCCTAACGGGTCGGACACTGGTGACCAGACACACTGTACAATTATTATAATTTTAGCCTATCTCGTGAGCTAGGTGTCAATAATTAGGGTGATTTACTAACTAACCAGTCGCATACGAACAACAGCAGTGAGATTCAAACAAGTTTGATCCATGATGCCGCACGACTATTGTGTGAGCCCACCCGTAACCCAAGCTTATTTAGCTTAACACAAGGGGCTGGACGGGACTATTAGTAATTTGTGCAATACAAAGTGCTTATAATCTTTAAAAAAATCTTTTTATTGCTGTATTTAACCTTCCTTTCGTATACTAATTTATGCGTCAGTGTCAAGTCTGCGATTTTTATTCTTTGAAATTTTCGTAAAATGGCTGCCGCCGCGGTGACGCCTTGTAATTAACAAATTAAAATTAAATTAGTGTTTTAAAGTGCATAAATGTACAACTTAATGGTAAAAAGTCATTCCTTGATTTTTACTTAATATGTATCTGGAGTTATTTGAACAGTATTTTCGTCTATAGGATGGCATATTTCAAAAAACAAAACTGCACTCAAGCGTGTTGTCACAGCAACCGCTGAGCACATACTAATTGAATTTCGGTCCGTGGACCTATTTACGTGCCAGAAACAGTCTAGTTGACATGTCTTCTCTAGTACGTAGTACATTATAACTCAATGTGATTATGTGACTTTGTCAATCGAGTACTACATTGATGTTACATAAATCAGTTTTAATGTCCGCAGTGGAATATTTTATTGCACTGATTAAGTTTTTATTAAATTAATTAATCGATCGATGCATGCAATTATGCTACTAGCTACTGTAATAAAAATAAATAAATGATTTATGAAGAAAGTAATTAATATTCGCAACTTTCTAGAATGTAGAGCGTGTAAGGTGATTGTGACAGATCGATTCAGCAGTCGACGTCCTGTGGCTGAAATGATGATGATGATGAATAAAATGGCCAAAAAATTGACAACAAAACCTTATTGCAATTGTAACAAAGATGTGTTGCGAACTTTTTGGCTACTTTGGGTGTCCGTACTATTTGAAGCTGTACGAGTACCCCCCTACATAAAATTAAATCATGTTCACACACAGTTATGTATCAAGCTACCGTTGTGTGAGCAAGTTATAGTTGTTTTCTTTTATCAATAATGCATTAGGTTCGCTGACCGTTTTAATTGTAAGCATATAAATGGATAATAATCGAGAAAAAGAACTACGAGTCGCATAATGTAAAACATCTTCCATTCATGTCTGGAGTGATACATTATTAATGAGATGCTATTATGTTGTTATATTCTTATTCAGGGTGATTATAACATTTTTGTTTTTACAGGCCAGTCAATGTCCCATTTAGTGAGCTTTACTTCTGAAATACTTTGAAAAAAAAACTCAGGAAATGGATGCGAGGGTATTTTTGTCGGATACAACATCGATCCGGCTCGAAGGACCACAACAAGTACAGTGCCCCAAATAGTTCGAATCGGGGTTATCGAAATAAAACTGATGATTTACACCTGGATAAATTATGTTGACATTTTAAAATGCTCCTTAAACAGCTTACGCCCGCATTCACAATCGATGCTTGCTTAAGTGAAGCAACAAATCGGATGCACAGCGTTGAATAGAGCTCTGTGATTGGTTCGTGTGTCACTCTGTGCGTCCCTGCGCACTGTGAGACCTCATAGTAATGTTTGTGAATACGGGCGTAAGTGTATTAACTAATAATGTTTTTTTATGAATTTCTAGAGTTCAAAAGATTCTTAGCCAAAGTAGGTAAATTAGAAGAAAATGAATCATCATTACGGGGTATTGTTTATTTTCTTTAGATTTGATATAGATGATTTCACGTTGAAACACGAAAACACTATTGTTATTTATATGAGAGCGTGCTCTTTATTCGGATGTTTTGTTAAAATTGAATGAACTAGGTTTCCATTATTTTGGTGGAATAACAGGTCTTTTAAGTGATAATGGAGTTGGCTAACGGTATTATCAAAATTAGCAGTTAATACTATCTACGGTGTGGATTCGGGCCCCCTAGATATTTGAGTTTTTAAGACCTAATTGCTAAAAATAAATAATTACGACTATGACTGACTAAGCATTCCACAATAATTTATTAAGGTGTGAAGTGAAAGCATTAAGCTTTTTAAAATCATGAAAAGCTTTTTCAAAAATCCTACGAACATTATAAAGGCTAGTTCTAGATAATAAGCTCTTTTTAAATGGACAAAACATTTCTAAAAACCCTATGTTTCTTTGTACTTATTTTGCAAAAGCTGCTGAGTCACAAGCACACATGTCATACAATGCCTACACTTTGATGTATTCTGTTTGCGTTATGGTATCCATAGAGACGCGGTCTGGTGACGATATCGAAGGCCAAACCGATGTCACCACGATAAGCTATGGAATATTCATTAATATCGATTGACAGGTGCATGGCGATGAGGTCTGGATGTGTGAATCGAATGATATTTAGAGTCTGCAAGTTTGAGAATTTCGAATATTGATCTTATTTTATTGTTACTACGCCATTCTTTCTTTTTTTTATTCACAACGAGGAAGCTCTTGCCCTGTATCTTCCCTGATGGTGTCACTATTAAAAAAAAACCTCACTGGATGAACCGACGATCTGGTGTGGTGAAGCAAACACCTGGTCGTTGTGGAATTCCTTAAGGATCTTTGCCGTTGTCCAGGAAGTGCTGAAATGGAGGCAAATGAAGACATTTTTGACTTTGAAGAAAACTAAGGAAGGCATAGCTACATTATGAAACGATCTATCGTACAAAGTATATGCAGAAGACCTGTCTAACCTGTCTTTATCTATTTGCAATGCAAATGTGATCTTTGATCCCATGAATTCAATTAGTGTCATTTATATATCAGCTACGCGCGTTAAGAATGTATCTACATGTATAATGATATTTTTCCCCAAAGTGGGCCCAGGGGAGGCGCAAAGACCTTTAAAGGGGGGCGCGGGCCATCTGTGTACTTAAGTATAAAAAACCTGCGACCGCTGAAAATGCATTCCAGACTGCTCGATACGACCAATAAATAAGCTTGACTGGAGGAGGGCGGGCGCGGAATTTTTTGAATGGTCGAAAGGGGGCGCGTCTCAAATAAGTTTGGGAACCAATTAGCTAGACAGTGTTAATTACTAAACTACTGGCGTTTACCAGAAAAAATATTCGCATCGTATAAATTCGCTTAACATAAGATACTTTGTCTTTTTTGTAACTCCTTGCTCGTTCGTTCGTTTCAGCCAAATGACGTCCACTGCTGGACAAAGGCCACCAAGGGTTTCCATTCCACAACGAGCGGTCCTACGCCGCCCGCATCCAGGCACCTCCCGCGACCTTCACCAGAAGTATACCTAGGTAGTACTTAAATACTTTTGATACGTTATGTATTTATATTAGGTTGTTCTTTTATTGGGTAGATTTTGGCCTTCAAGCGCGTTTATGAATAAGATAAAAAAATGCGTCTTCTAGTGCCCGTTTTCAACATCAATCTCTAATTTTTAAGTGACCCCTATGTAAACAAAATTCCTGTTATGCATAGCTGGGCAGCGTCTTTCCGTTCTATACATGGCCAGAACGCACCCATAGGAAACTGCTCGTGTATATTTCGGAGTGCCTGTTTGTAAATCTGTAACTCCAAACTATACACGAATTTTGCGTACTGATCGTGTATAGTTTGGAGGAGCTTAGTAAAAAAAGTCATCTCCAAACTATACTCGATTAGTTTCTACTACACCACTTACACTTGACTAGAGTGTGTTTAGTTGATATTGATTTAGTAAAATTCAGTAAAATATGGAACTATATTTAAAATTACATTTATTTGATATTATTACATAAAATATTATTATTTTACTGAATCTATAATAAATCTAGATTTTTAAAACTATTGTAAGTGGTTTTTGAAATTAAATTGATTAGGTAGATTTCAAATTAAATAACAATTTAATTAATATGAGAGAGAGTGAGAGAAGAAAGTTCAACGCGCATTAAATACAATATTATGCGAGACTTTAAATGCTAGGTTTGTATTGTCGGCCGTTTGGTGTAGTGGTTCGAAGTGGTAGCGGGTTCGATTCCCGCACAGTACAAACATTTGTGTGCATGAACATATTTGTTTGTATTGGACTGGGTGTTTTCTATGTATGATAAGTATGTATTTACAAAAAAAAGTATTTAATTATGTTTATATCCGTTGTCTAGTACCCATAGTACAAGCTTTGCTTAGTTTGGGACTAGAAGCGCAGTGTAAAATGTCTAAGGATATTTATTTATTATTTATTTTATTTATTAACTTTTATCTCAAGAACAAAATCATTTTGACATATTTCCATACCTACAATTGGTGAAATATCAGCCCCAAAACAAATATCTTTTCTATGGCAGAATAAGAAACACCAAAAAATCCTTTATCAAAACAATGACACGTGTCGTAAGATGATTCAATGTTTAAAGTAGACACGCAGATATGAATTAATCTATCTATATAAATAAAAATGAATTGATGTTCGTTAGTCTGATTAAAACTCGAGAACGGCTGGGCTGATTGAGCTGATTTTGATTTTAAAATGTTTGTCGTAGTCCAGGGTAGGTCTAAACGGTGAGCAAATACGCGCGCGATATTGTTTTTCTGTAACAGACAAAATTCCACGCGAGCGAAGCCGTGGGCGGAAAGCTAGTATGTAATAGAAAGAGAGGTCAATAAGTCAAAATAACTAGCATGCAACTACTCGCGTATAAATTGTAATCACGCACTTATTACAATACATACATGATTAGTCCGTATGCGTACTGGCGATGTATATTTTGGAGGAAGATAATTGACCTAAGTCACTACAAAGTATACGCGAGCAGTACGCAGCGTATGCGTACTGGTCGTGTATAGTTTGGAGGAGCTTAGTAAAAAAAGTCATATCCAAACTATACTCGATTAGTTTCACACCCTTGCGTTCTGGCTATGTATAGAATGGAAAGACGCAGCTGGGCACCGTTAATCAAATAGTTAACTTCGTTAATCGTTAAACCGTTAATAAAAAAAATAACTTCGTTAAACGTTAAAACGTTAACACATGATAATAAAACGAAAAAATAATTGTATGCAAGGTTCAAATAGCTTCGAAAGTTTGTATCGCGCATGGAATTTATTCCTCTTTTATGTTTGCGCTACAAGCTTTCGAAATTATTTGCACCTTGCATAAGTACAATTATTTTTTTCGTTTTAGTACAACTGCATTTCAGAATAAAAGCTTGTTTTTAAAAAAGTTTTTCAATTATTATTTTTTATTTTACACTTTTTAGTAGTATCTTTTTAGTAGCACCAAAGTGCTCGAAAAGACAAATCCAGCAAACCCAAACTCGATAAGTTTCCACCGTTTCGTTTAGGAATTCCTATGGCCACCTCCTGACTCCATGATCAGGACCCTGGACATCATCTAGTACTAAAGTGCTCGAAAAGATAAATCCAACGAACCCAAATTCGATGCGATGGCGCCGTTTCATTTAGGAGTTCCTATGGCCACCTCATGACTCCATCATCAGACCAGCTCAATGGTACCATAACATTGCATTGTCATTGTACTTACATAAGTATACCAAATTTTAGCTCAATCGGTTGAGGAAAACTGGTCTTAAATTCAGTTGCAAGAGTTGTCCCACACATACTAACAAGTGTCGTTAGTGATCTGGTAACAAAAACTGTTCTTTTGGGTTCTGGAAGTTCTGGAAGCCCGAACGTACTTGTCAGAACGCGTTTTTCTAGCGTTTTTCAGAGTGCCTGCTGTATCTTTTTGGTAAATAGTACGTACTGGATTAACGATTAACGGACTTAGGATAATTTAACGGAAGTTAACGAATCCTTTAACATTTTTTAAAGTTAACTTAAAAGTTAATCTGTTAATAGAAATGTTAACTTCGTTAATTAACGATTAACGGATTAACGAGTTAATGCCCAGCTATGCTGTTATGTTGTTACCATAGGGGTCACTTAAAAATTAGGGATTGATGGTTAAAACGGGCATAAGACCTTGGAAAGACCCTGTCATTAACCGTCCATTATGTTGTCTTCAAATGTCAAACCAATAAAATAGTCAATTCATCATTATTTGATGTTTTGTCTAGTACTTTACAAAATAACGTACAATTATGAATGATTGGAAGCAATTGAAATGTCCAAAGGCTGAGGCATATAATTTAAAAGCACTTAGTAAATATGACGATGAATTTAACTGTTTTTGCTTTGTTATGGTTTCCTCCATTTCCTCCATGGATTTCCACAGACCGGTCTTGCGCTGCCCGCATCCAGCTGCTTTCAGCGATCTTCACTGGATCGTCGGTCCACCATGTAGAAAGGCTGCTCACACCGTATCTTACGGCCCGTAGTCGCCACACGAGAACATTTCTGGCTTAACGGTCATTAGTTATGCGAGTTACGGCGGTAGTAATAGTTACAAAAAGTAACAGTTAAAGTGCCCATTTATTTACAGGTATGGTTTGTTAAATCAGCAGAAGCAGAGTTAATTTATTTACTAAGGCTGTCATTTGTGACAGCTTTAAATAAAGTTAATTAAATGTAAACTAAGTAGTTAATGGAATCGTCTAGACGCCTTGATAAGTTAAAGGACAATGTTCGTTCTCCATACATTGTTCGCCTAAAGAACCAACAATTTTGACATATTACTACCCGAAAGCGAAATAATACGATTCTGTGTGTAAGAACAATGATTCCTGATGGACACTTGCCATAAAATTAATGATTAAGAATATTAAATCACAGCGATTTTATAATATGTCGTTTATGACAACATGGCGTCTAATGTATTGTGTGAATGTATGAACACCGATTCGCGAAAAATGTTTTGTATTGTCGTCACGCCGAGTCGCAGCCAAATAGTATAAAATAATAGAACAAGTTTTAGAAATACAACTCGGCATTGGATTCAACATCGGATTCTGACACTTTTACAGTTATGATACCATGAATATCAGTTTATGGTCCTAATTATTTTTATTTTATTTACGACCTTCGACCAGTTGGACACTTTAGATATCTTCTTGTAATAGTGTCAAACTGTCAATATCTTTTTAGCTTTTAACGCAAATCTAGTCTTCAAAGCAGTTTAATCGATTTATTTTATTTTCAAAATCGATATTTTATTGTCTATGATGGCCGCAGGAACATCACTATACATGGACTCCCAGCAATAAAGTACGGTAATGCCTCGTACAGATTTTATCGGCAAAAATTATGGAACTTGATAGGTTTTAGACCATGCCACGCACCAAAACGTCCGGAAGTTGTAATAGTATTATAGAATAAACGTTAAAAGACTTATTAATTTAATTTTTCAATGCTTAAGTGTCCATTAGAATGAAAGGGTGCTTAATGTATTAAAAAAAATAGAAAATAATTATGATGGGTTAATGTTTTTGGGCGGTTTTTTAGGCGGTTTCTGACAATGTCCTTTAACTGCACTACCGGGGGGCGTGTTATCAATGACAGTGCAACTCGTAAACAATATAGGTACATGCTGATATTCGAGACCTTTCAAGTGTATTTATTATTTCTATGACTGAAGGCCTATTTCTCTACAATTTAATCAAAATTTCAAAAACCATATAATTATTATTTTGACGGTCATAAGTGCCAAAATATTTGTCAAATATGATTCAAATAAATATAACTCTTTTATAATGCGAAAGGGACTGGAATTCGCTGCCTGCTGCTGTCTTTCCTGAACACTAATCCGGGCCTTTTCAAGGCGAGATTGAATAGGCACTTACAGGGCAGATATGTACCATCCTAGATTGCATCTCAATTAACACGGTGCGATTGCGATCAAATACCTGCCTTGTATTACAGAAACAAAAAATTAGGTTTTGAATTGTCAATCTTCATACCTACGTTAAAGTATCTCTTGTGTCGTTTGTGTGTCCACACCAAATATTCCAGATACTGCGTATCACGTATAGTTTTTTTTATCTCACGGTCATAGTCAATGACGAAGCCCACCATCACAGTAAAATAGAAAAGTAAACCAGCTTCATTTTTACCGTGCGCCTACGCATCATAAATACGAATTTTCAAGCTCCTGCTGCATATAGTGCCACCTACTTTCCTTGCTGTAGGATTTTTGACACTTTTATTTTTATTATTTGCTATTTTTTGCCGCAATTTTCTTTTAATTGATTTTTTTAAGGTTTTTTTCTGTATTTTCAAATGTATGCTTTGGACGGTAAAATCAAAAATATTTTGAAGACATAAATAATATTTATTTTCCCTTTTACTGTGACAACATAGTTCGCAGCAGGAATACCTCAACTCGATATAGTGCGACCTTGCAAAGTATTATTGCTAATAATACTCGATAAAAATTAATAAACAAAACTATAATTACAAAATCAAATTATTACACTTTTGGGGACCAGTACTGAAGTCATTGTTAAACCATTTTTTTCGTATTTTAATTTGCAATAACAACTAGAGCTGTCTATTATTTTTTTTTACAAAGTACTAACAAAATAAATGTAGTTTTTATTTCGTTTTTTCTTTCTTTCTTTTTCTTATGTTTAAATTACTTTTTTTTGTTAAAAAACTTGAAAACTATACAGAACCATTATAGTATTTCGATACTACACACATGTTTGGTGCTAAGCCCTTCACTGACTACGCAGTTATAGGGAAGGACAAGTTGTGCGCAGTAGTAGATAATTATCGCCCAAAGGTACGATAATTCACAGGTGTTTTATCTCATTGATTACCGGGTTTATTTATAGATCAGAACATCTATACAACTATACTATTCTTTACATGCTTATCATATTATACATCATAAAAAAAACAATTTATTTTTGCTAGTAGCCTTTTAAAAAGTACTTTTATACGTCCCTGTGTGAACCCTATCACTGCTTCGGGGCAATAAATGGGCCAATAAGGGCACAAATAAAATTAAGGTTTACAAAACGCATAAATCCACATGTAAACTCTACCAATCAAATATTGGGCTAAGCAAAAAAAAAACCTTATGAATGTAAATTAATAGGAAGTATAGTTTTCTAGGAATATTGTAATGTCATTAAAAATGGAAAAATACCGCTAATTAGGTGATTTGATTAATACACCAATGATAAAAAAAAATCCGATTCATAATGAACATCATTGTTTCAGTGCGTTATCATTGTAAAACAATGTTTATTTACATTATACATAAACTATAATGATAAAAAACTTAATTATAGTTGTTACAAGTTCTGACTTATTTAGTAATTCAAAATTATTACGTCACATTCAAGAATAAAATATGTGTTTTGAAAATTAAAATGTTTATTTTTTTATTCAATTTAGACCAATATTTGGCACTTAATTATTTTTTTATACATCCTTGAGTGTCGTTTGATGTTTCATAACACAAAATTACAAACCATAATATATTATCTCAATCTTTTCTAAATATTATAAGCAACAAGAACTCTTTTAAAAACCAAGAATTGTTATATTTCTTTCCACGGAAGTTTCTTCTCTTTCACGGACATCGTAAACTAAAACAACCGAATGTTTTTATACATCGAAAATCGTTTTCCAACCGTACCCTCTTCTATTGTCACGCTTGTGTAGTATTGTTTCAATATTTTCGTTAGTTAATTGCGACTTACCTATTTTGAAGGTCAATTTTGTTATACAACATTGTCTTTTTCTTTACTAGATTTGTATTTTTTTTTTTCTTTTGTTTTTTTTCAGTATTTCGTAGTGTACAAATTACTAATATTCCTGTTAACCCCTCCAGTTAAGCTAATTTTTAATTATATGCTTGTGTTAGTAGTGAGTGGATCCACCAAAATACTTCAAACCATCCAGTCTGATACCGACACCGTTAAGTTGGACTATTGGTCGCCTCGATTTACTTACGGGACTATTCCCACCTCTCGTTCCACTACTGCAACTCCTGTGTAGCCAGGATCTACAGCTTGACCGCCAATAAAACCCCAACCAGTGAAGGTCAAGTTTGTCCTGCCTCGATTTACTTATCATTATGCTTTTTTTTTTAAGTTGGCCGATAGTTGTGCCCGATTTTAAATTGTATGAAGAATCGGCCAAATCAAATCGGTGTAATGTGCGCACTTCCATACATGCCCATACTGATCAACTGCCCGACTAAACTATCGGCCGACGAAAAATCGATGGTCTGCGCCTAGGCTAAGTCTATCCTTGTTTTTAGTAGGAAGAGGGGCTTACTCATATATCCAGCGGTGGACTCCTAATAGATACATGGTCATAACTCATTTGGTTGCAACAAACAGGTAGAAATGTAGAAAGCAGGAAAACCAGAGTTTACCGGCCAAAACCGGTAACGTGATAGACGGGAAACGAAAGTACCTGTAGCTTGTGATTAATGTGTTACCAAAATATTTTGACTACGTCCGACTGTCCTAAATGTATTTTAAAAGTTTTAAAACATACTTGAATTTCAACGCCATTATTACCAAAATTATTCAGTGATGTATCTTATAATAAACAATTTGAAATATGTACAGATTTCAAAATGTTAATTTTTTTGGTACTACCCCAATCGCCTACACGGCTACGCAGCTATATGAATTCTGATTAGATTTAGCATATAGTTTGGACCTTGGAGAACGATATTCTTTGAACAGATCTTTTCAGGGCACACTAATGCCAATGAATAAAATATTTCTGGCAATAAGTAAAATATTTCTGTCAATAAATAAAATATTATTTCAGAATAGTAGATGTGTTCTGTGTTATCCCAAATCTACACGGATAGTTTTTCCTACTATACCTACTACGCGTAATGTATAATATTAATTATTAAAATACAGGCAGCCGGCATGTGGGCCAAACCGCGCGCGTGCCGAAATATGCATCACAGGCAAAAGGCACTACAATAAAGAATTTAAACCAGTGTTGACTGATGCAGTTGTATGCAAGTTCTATGTACCTAGTACCTACCATGTTTTAGTGCCAATAAAAGTAACTCGGCGAGCACATAAACCCGCACTGGATAACCTGTTAGTGTTCATAAAGATAGATAATGATGACGGCACATACATAGAAGCGTGCGGAAAATCCGATCGGAAGTGTACCTACTCATAAACTGTTCATAAATCAAGAACACGCAGAAGTCTCGCCAGAAGAAGAAGTAAATTAAAAAAGAAACTGTTTAATTAGATATAAATTAACGAGGTTTGGTTGCCACATAATTTTTTTTTTTTCAAATAGGTATGTCTAATATTTGCAACCTCCGCCCACCAAAAGTAGGTAAAGAAGATTGCGTTTCAAAATTAAAATATGTTTACACTAGCGTTTTAAAAAGTGGTTAATAAGTCCTCCAATATTTTACAAACGAAAATCTAAATTAAAAATCACTAATTATTTGCCAGAGCACGTGCTTAAAGAAGTGCAACAAACTCGTTGCCGGCAGACCTACCGCATTACCGGTATTGTATAACGTTACCTACATTTGTTGTCGGTCCGTAAACATCAGTTGGCCGCCGGCTGCCGTAGAGAGAGCACGTCTCGTCGCCGCGAGTTCGTACTTCGGAACGTTGAAGTGACCGTATAAAAAAACCTTTTCTGTGAATTTTCTTAGTGCTTCTGTACCGGAAAATTTTACACAGGTACCTACATTTTTTCTTTTTTTTAGTGATTTTCTTTTTTTTTATTTTGTCATGTAATACAGGTTTAAATGTTTAATAATTTTAATTCAGTTGTGATTTCTACATCGTGATTCGGTGCGTGTTAAATCAATTTAATTAATTGGTCATTTATGATAATATTATGTCGACTTTAATATTAATCATTTAATTATAAATGGTAATAAAATAGAAAATGCAGTAAATATTTTCGCCTATAGGTACCGATAATTACGAGTAAATCATAACTAATTTAATGACAGGACAGAAATATGCAAATAAAAAAACATGATAAATTGTGGCGTGAATATTTAAAAGTACAACTTTTTGAACAAATTATAGTATAATTTATTCTATGATAGTGTCGTGAATAAGTTATTTTATTGTATATTAATTAATTAAATTGTCATCTGCATTTAAAGAAGATAATAATGTAAACAGTAAGTTGTTCTTAATTAGTTTTATTGATTTAATATAACATTTTGATTAATCGGCTTCTAAATTCATATTTTAATGCAAAAAATTCCAGTCAAAATTTTAAATTTTACTGAAACACTAAGAGAAAATTACCAAAACTCTATTAAAACACATCTTTCAAGAAAATAATTATTAAAGTTCCGATTATTCTGGGCCTCAGTCAGGGTCAGACGGGCTTAATTGGTTTAAAATTATTATGTCTGGCTTGTCTTATAAAAATACTTTAGAAACAGCGACTAGTCATTTCATATTATTTAGTAGGTACAAGTAAGAAAAAAGTTTTTAGAAGAAACGTTCTTTAGACTTCTTAAAAAGTGTTCTTTAAAACTTCTTTTTATTTTTTTATTAAATGTGAAAGTTATGATGGATGAATGTTTGTGACACTTTTATGAAATAACTTCGCAACGGATTTTAATGAAACTTTACAGTAATGTTTAATTTATTCCCAACTATAATTTATCATGATTTGCGATAAGCAAAATTTCGCGCGAGCGAAGCCATAGGCAAAAGATGTTAATGTAGTCCATCCAACTCCGAATCTTATCACTTATCATATCAGTGGTGTTACACAAACTTGAATCAACTTGCGCTAACTAAATGGTGCGTGTAATTATGTCATGATTAATTCGATTTATAATACGCTAGCTCAAGCCCGCGGCTTTGCCCGCGTTTCGGTCCGTCGCGTGAATAAAGACCGGGATAAAAACTATCCTTTTATCCCTGGGTCTCTCAAACTAATCGATTCTAGCTCCCACTGCTTTTTGGTGAATGAAATAAAAATACGACATTACCTACATTTTCTTTTTGTTCGATGCATGAGACGGAGAATTTACGGACCAAATGCTACGCAGAACACAAATTCATGCTGTCATCAAATCAAATTGAGGCCTTAATTCCGCTTGCAAAAAACATGCAAAGAAATACATTTATATTCAGTCGTATGGGCAAAACTGGCAAGTCATGCCGCTTAGTGAAAAGTTTTATCTTGGCAATGACACGTGTATTACGAATATTACGATATATTGTGCAATATACCACTTGATATTCCGGAGTGATAACATCGAGATCATCATCATCACTACCCTCTAATGTAGAAGCACAGCACGACCCTCTAGCACCAGGATCATTAGTATAATCCATCATCATCTGCTAGTATGCGCGCCGTGATATACCTACTTTATCGACGTCAAAATGTATGGGCAAAATCGATAAATAGAATAGAACCACTCTGCTGAAACCACAGTTAATTTGTCTTTTTACATCCATCGGGAATTCGGGATAATTTTTTTTAAGTTTCCGATTCTACCATTCATTAAAAATTGTAATGTTTCTTTTTAAAAATCTGATATACCGTACTAGAGTCCTGTTTATAACGGTTCATGATTTGAATTTAATGTCTGCTGTTGGGTAGATCCGCCGATTTGATTCCGCGAGATTTATTTTACGTTTTTTGAAAAACTTTACAGGAATGCGTGCAAACTAGCTTAAACTGAAAGGTTAAGCAATGAGCTTTTTAGATCAGTGTGAGGCCCTTAGATTCAATCGTTATTTTAGAAGTAACAAGCGTCCAAATATTTTTTCACAAAATGGTAATGACGTTTTCCCAATGGTAATGATTTTATTAAAATGGTAATGATCTTATGTTAATGGTGATGACGAAATATAATTTTATAGTAATACATTAAATTAAAATAACTTGAAAACTAAAATTTAGATATAATTGTTCAGCTAAACACCAATTTTATCTATGTTATTTTCCTAGCTAAGCACGTACCTATTAAAGAATGGGTTGGAAATAAAAGTAAATGTATTCAATAATTTAATGAATTTATTGAATTTGGAACAATACGGACATTAGTTAAAATTTTTTTACGTTCCTAATATTATTCAGAATCAGAAAAAATCGCACAAAATGGGAATGACGCGAGCCGATGACAAACTGCGAGTGTCTCTCGTTTTCGGAGTTTAAAAAGTCTCGGAGCTGCGTAAATTTTACGTGCATTCTGTTCTGTTACGAGCAACGAATTGAAGAGTGGGACGCGCGGACACAAGCGGGGATAAGTCGCGTCGCAGCCGCATTAAAGAACCTTTGATGCTGCCGCGATGGCTATGACGATTTCTCGTGACAATATTTCAATTCATGATTCCATTTTATTGGCTAATACGATTTCAATATAATTTTGTTATTTTGTCACGGTAAATATGTACATTTTAAATTTATAATCAAAATCTGGTCTGTGTATAGGTAAAGTAAAAAAAATTAAAAGACAACGGCAAAGGTCAGTACTTTTACTGTGATGGTAATGACGTTTAGTGCGTGTTTTCTTGATTATCGAAATAACTTGAAGTATTTAATCAATATGGATCATGGCACCTTATGTGGAAACTTGTACGAATCGTTATTCAGAAGTTTAATTTACCAGAACTACAACAGTTTTTTTTTAATCGATCGGAACATAAGTTTTTTACTGTTTCGCGGATTTACCCTGTTACATTTTAATTCGAAGGTCGATTAATTATGTATTTCAATCTTATTATCATGTTTATTTAAATGAACGGCGACGTTGTGTTACGTTTTTATAAAATATCTGTTTTTCATCATCATCATTTCAGCCACAGGACGTCCACTGCTGAACATAGGCCTCCCCAAGGGGTGGATTTTGAACACAAATTAATGGTACTCGTAACAATCATAGGCCTTTCAGAGTTTGTCATGACATAAAATTCAAATCAATATCGTTATTAAGGCAAATAATTATATGAATCACAAACTTCAATATTGTAACTTTGAGGATTATAATTATGATTGTAGTTACATACTCGTACATATTGTACGTACGTACTTTTTATTATATCAATGTGTTTTCTACGTATTGTGTGGGTTGTAACAACCGAAGTAACTAGTCATAACTCAAATGTCAGACGTAATTTATCGTAATTAACAAGTTTTCGGTAGGCGGTCGTCAAATACAGAACTTTTTCATTTCGTAGTTACCTTCATTATTATTCAACTAGCTTTCCGGCCGCGGCTTCGCCCGCGTGGAATTTTGTCTGTCACAGAAAAACTTTATCGCGCGCGTCCCTGTTTCAAAAACCGGGATAAAAACTATCCTATGTTCTTTCCCGGGACTCAAACTATCTCTATGCCAAATTTCATCAAAATCGGTTGCGAGGTTTAAGCGGGAAAGCGTAACAGACAGACAGACAGACAGAGTTACTTTCGCATTTATAATATTAGTTGGGATTGGGATTCTGAGTCACATAATCGATTCTAAAAATTGTTTCGATATGGACGGTCGCCTAGCTTCGTGGTCGTTGGATTGAAACTTTAGCTGGTTACAGATTCTAATACCAGTGGAAACAAATGATGAGCAAAAGCAGTTATGCTAGGAAAGAGCAAACTAAAAACATTTTATTAAGCGTTATGTAATCCTTAAGCTACGAAGTTGTATTAATAACTTATTTATTTCTTGCAACATTGTGAAATTACTACATTTTTAAAGTGTAACAATATTTTGAAACTTAATAATTTTCCGTGACTAGCAAAGTACGAGTAGTTACAACGTAATGTAAGAAAGTTAAACAACGTACATACCTTCAAGGACCTACATTTGCCTGATAATGTTGATAACTGCAGTGACAATGCAGCAACTGATAGCAAGTCAATTGATGAGCATCTTGAATCAAATCAAATCAAACTTCTTTGTATGCGTAATTTCACTTATTGAATATGAAAACCTTTTATATGTTCGCAAAAATATAGAGCAATTTACTAGATAGAGTGATTTACACAAGTTAAATACAAGAAACAAAAATAAACTTGCCGTTCCAAATTTCAGACTGCACAAGATTGGTAATTGCCCATTCATAAATTTAAAGCACATATCAAAAGCACCTTAATGAAAAAGGGCTACTATAAAGTTAATGATTATACATATAAAAGATAAAAATGTTTGGAATGTTTAACTACCCTAGCTCGCATAAATACTTATGACTATAATTTGTATATTTTAAAGACTGTGACAGGAAGCTGACAATAGTGACTGAGTTTCTTGCGCTGCTTAGGTCTATGTCAGCGACCTTAGTTCTTTCACAGATCTCCTCATTTCTGATTCGATCTCGTAAAGAAACCAATAGCAGCATTTGCCATAGCAGAACCTATTATTACCATAAGCCTAGGCGCAGACCACCGACTTTTAGTTGGCCGATAGTTGCGCCCGATTCTAATTTGTATGAAGAATTTGCCGATACCAAATCGGTGTAATGTGATCACTTTTTTTTAATCCACAACGAGGAAGCTCTTGGCCAGTATCTCACCTGATGGTAAATGATGATCAGGCCGAAGGTGGAAACGAGCTTCACCCGGAATCCTCAACCACGGAGAAACTGGCTATCTTACCTCCATCTACCAAAAAACAATGCTGATAATACTGTATTATGGCGACGTTCTATGGTTTGATCATGGTAACTATAATTTTAAATTGCCCACATGATTTTTGAGACAAATA